CGGGCCGGCCTGCAGACCTGTGGCTGCACTGTGCTGCCTGCTGGGTGCTCTGTGGGAAGACCCGATTGAGGTGGCCTCACCCTCCTCAGGCTCCCCGAGCTCACGTCCACCCCCTTCCTAATCATGGCTAGTCAGAACATAAAGGAACCACACTTGGAAGGCCTTTGTCAGCTTTAGTTCACATTTCTCTTTTTAACAGGAAAGGTTGTTTTCAACTTCCTAATTTTTCTTTCTTGAAGAAGGACCCATGGATTTCCACAAGAGTGATGGAAAAACTGTAATGTAGCATTTTGAAGAACAGATTTTCTTTTTTAAACTTTGTTTATTTTTATTATTTTCCAGTTCGATCAGAGAGAGACAGAGAGAGGGCAAGTGAGAAAGCAAGCCACCGGTTCAGGGACTCGGACCACGGTCAGCCACGTGGGAGTCCAGCACCTCAACCACCACACCACCCACTGGCCCCTGAAGAATGGATTTTCAACTGAGAAATATTATTTGGAAACGAACACAGAATTAGTCTCCTTTTTCGTTTGTAAAACTTTCCTTAGATTAAGATATGCAGACTGCCCGCATCATTATGGCAGAACCATTAGCTTCAATCCTCTGACCGGAAATAAACTCTTCTTAAACATTTCTCACCTTGTAACTTCGCAGGATTGAAATCCCCGATGACCATCGTAGGTGTGAGTGTAGCTCGCAGTTTGCAGTAACGTCTGTCTGCTTTATCTTCTAGCTAATCCAAGGCTGTGCGTGGTGGTGTGGAACAATTATCTTGAAATTCCTGACATCTAAAATATTGGGTGTTTCAGACCACGTAAGTAGTTTGCAGTTAGAACGTGGGAGCTCCTACACAGACTAGCTGGGTGAGAACTTCGAAGTCGCCTGTTCTCTGTTTTGCAAAGGTGAAGCTCCTTTTCCAAAGTCCTCAAGCCAGTCATCTACAGATTAGTAAAAGGCTGCAGTTCGGGTCAGCGGCGAAGGTGTCTGGTTCCTGCACGGCTGATTGTGAGGGTCAAGGCCTGGACCCGCTGGTTTGGAAAACATGCCGGGTGTGTGTGCGTACATGTGTTCCCAAATCCCAAAGGAGAAACGAAGGGGCCGTGTGGCCACTCCCCAGGAAGTGCTTTCTCCACCCCAGGGAGCACGGGCACCCTCTGGCGAGTTTAAATCGATGAATAGATGAGGCAAAGCGACCTTTTGACCCACTAAGAGAAAGAGT